GTCTCGAACTCCTGACCTCAGGTGATCCATCCGCCTCAGCCTCCCAAAGTACTGGGATTACAGGCAGGAGTCACCGTGCCTGGCCCACTATTCACTATTTTGCTACAAACCTGGTGTCTGTGAATAAACTTCTCACCTCTATGGCCTGTTGTCAACTGGGAAAATACATTATTTCATATTTATGCCTTCTTCCCCAGCTCCAAAGCAAACAAAGGCTTTTGGAGGTTTAACAATTGAAGAATAAAACAAAAAAAATTCCCCTCTGTATGCTGTTTCCCCATCCCTGAACCCTAAGAGCATGTGTCTGTTATTCTCACTCATTCATTCCAACTTGGACCGTTTGGAAGAGCACAAAGCCACACAGGATGCCAACAGCGGAACCTGATGCACACCATAGGTAAGTGTTATTCATCAACTATTTGAGTTTTTCTTTTGGGAAAACAGAATGAGAGGTTCCAGTAAAAAGAGCAAGAAGGTACATGTATACAACAGAATACTATTCAGTGCTAAAAAGAAAAGCGCTATTGAGCCATGAAAAGACATGAAGAAAATTAACTTCACATTACTAACTGAAGAAGCCAATCTGAAAAGGCTACAACTATACAATTCCAACTCTATGACATTCTGCAAAAGGCAACATTAGGGAGACAGTCAAAAGATCAGTGGGTGAGCTTGGCATGGTGGCTTACGCCTGTAGTCCCAGAATTTTAGGAGGCTGAGGCAGGTGGATCACCTGAGGTCAGGAGTTTGAGACCAGCCTGGCCAACACGGTGAAACCCTGTGTCTACTAAAAATACAAAAATTAGCTGGGTATGGTGGTGTGCACCTATAGTATCAGCTACTCAAGAGGCTGAGGTAGGAAGATCACTTGAGCCCCAGAGATCAAGGTTGCAGTAAGCCAAGATTTCGCCACCGCACTCCAGCCTGGAAAACAGAGCAAGACCCTGTCTTAAAAAAAAAAAAAAAGAAAGAAAAAAGTAGAAGAAACCCTAAGGTAAACTATGGTGTTCGGGCGATAACAATGTATCAATATAGATTCATCAACTCTAACAACTGTACCACCCTGGCATGGGATGTTGGTAATGGGTCAGCTGTGGGTACAATAGATACAAAGGAGCTCTGTGTGCTTCCCACTCAATGTTGTTGTGAACCCAAAACTGCTCTGAAAAAATAAAGACTGTTAAAAATACATAAAATACAGAGAGAAAGAGGTGTGGTGCTGCAGATGCTACCCAGGCGCTGAAGCCAAGGAACTCCCCATGGGGACTTTTACTCCTGCAGGTGAGGGCCTGGAAGACGTGTAGAGTGACAAGTTAGGTTGGCCCCAGGAAGCAGCGATGGAGGATCTGGGATCCTCCTGTCCAGGTAGAGATCCTTTGACAGTCTCAGAGCACTCAGGTTGAATAGGGGCTGCACACACAAGACGCCACGCTGCTAGAACTGACCTTGGGAAGGTGCATCCTCTTTTTCTATTCTCACTGCCACCCTGACCATTAGCTCAAGGGCTAGTCTTCCATGCTTGTAACCTTAGGAACTGCTTCTGCAGTAACACGATCCAACTGAAGGATGTGGAGAGAGAGAATGTGACTTCCTCAAGTGGTGAATCTCACCTGATTTTCCTTACCAGTGGAAACTCTGTCACCTGCAAGGAAGTACCTCCAGTCTGGAGCTAGGAGAAGGAGGAGCATCCTCTTCAGTGGACAAGTTCCTATCAATACCTACACTGGCTACATCCTCCAGCCCACAAAGCCTGGTTGCCTGATGCTGTGAGCCAACACACCACAGCATAAATGCAATAGGAAGAAACAATCAAAGTGTACTGTGAGTCTTGTCAGCCCCTGGCAACCTAAGATAAGTATCACAAACAAGAACATGAGGTCGTTTGAGAGGATTCCGCTAATCAAGATGGAATTAGATACTCAGGTACACATAATGTGGAAATCAGGAATACTCACTTTCCATAAACAAGAACCTGTCGCCACTTGGCCCTGATTAGCAGCTCAAAATTCATCTTTCCAAACTGATTTTTCTATGCTGCTCTCTCTCACCATGTGAAGTCCAGTTTTCATAAAATTGCCACCTGATCTATTTCTCCAAAAGCTAAATTCCTCTTCTCTTTCCTCACATGGCCAGTAACTTTTTGCATATTTGTTAAGGCACCTTTCATTCAAAACCAAAACACCTCCTAACAAACGTACTTTTGTGGCTAAAATCTCCTTCTCCTGTCAGTATACTGTGAAAATTAATTCTCCTCAGCCTTGTTTCCTTCCTCCTGGCCCTGAGCTGTCATTCCAAGGCCTCCGTTTTCTAAGACGCTCTTTCCCCTGTGGTTTCTCCCACTCTTGCATTTCTCTAAATTTTCATGGGTTTTGTAGGTTTCTCTGCATAAAATGGCAACTCATTCTATCTATGTTGTATTCTTCCTAATAACCAATCCACAACATAGGCTGCTAAGACACGGAGAAAGAATAATCAAGCCCCGAGCACTGAGCCTGGCGCCAGGTCACACAGGGCCAGGGGCACCCTCACTCCCTGATGCAGTAAGCCCTCCACACCTCACTCCACTCCTCTGTAAAAGGCAGATGCCAAGGCCTCCCGCGTGGGTTGATGCAAGGGACATGCGAGCACAGCACAGCACAGCTGCAATAACTGCCAACTCTCTCCACCTCTCCACGTGCGTCCTCTCAGCGCTTTACCTGGAATAAAATGTCTGTGAGCAGGATGGGGATTCACACCTTGCCTGTATTTCTTCAAAGGATTTTCATGAAGTGGAATATACAGGAGGTGGTTTTATTTTATTTTATACAGAGTCTTGCTCTGTTGCCCAGATGGAGTGCAGTGGCACAATCTCGCTCACTGCAAACTCCGCCTTCCGGGTTAAAGTGATTCTCCTGCCTCAGCCTCCCGAGTAGCTGGGATTACAGGCGTGTACCACCTCCCCTGGCTAACTTTTGTACTTTTAGTAGAGACGGGGATTCTCCATGTTGCTTTCGAACTCCTGACCTCAGGTGATATGCCCACCTCAGCCTCCCAAAGTGCTGGGATTACAGGTGTCAGACACCATGCATAATGGTATTAAATAATATTTTCCAGTTCCTGGTGGTTCTGGTCCTCTTTTATGATGAGATTTCACAACTTATTTACCATATCATATACCATATATGTGTTTAAGACTTTCTTTAAAAAAGTTAAGACATATAAAACAAAGAAAACATCATCATGAATCCCTGTTCAACTTCAACAATTACCAACTCATAGCCAAAATTATTTCATCCTAGACCCCCATTTAATTCCTTCCCAGCCCTCACTGCAGATGATTCTGAAGCAAGTATATCAGATTTAAATATAAATATTTTATTAAGTAGTATTTTCAATGATAAGAAGCATAACAAAGCTGTTTTCACTTAGAAAACGAATTCTCTACTCACTAAATAAAGCTATGACTACCTTACTCATCTGTTCCCTGGCATGCACAGTAAGACAAGGGTGACCCAGGAAAGACACAGCAGGCCTGAGTTGATTCCTGGTGGCACACAGCTGGCAAGGTGACCATGGGCAGGACATCTGCCCTCTCAAATCTCACTCCACAAGGCAGAAACCAGGACCAGAGGACCCCTAGTCCACTCGCCTGCATGAGCCTCTGCTCTCACAGAACAGCAAGGGCTTTCTACTTCCCATTTATGTTCTCAGTGTTTCTGTTGCGTTTCCAGAATCAGCTTCTCTACACAGAGTAATTTAGCCCCTACTTGCTCTTTGTCAAAAATAGAATGAATATATATATATATATATATATTCAAACTGCAAAGTCTTCTCCAGGCACAAGTTTCCTCCATATTACCCTTTTATGTGGGGGAAAAAAATCATTCCATTATCTTTTCATTCCCCTCCAATCTCTTAAAATGAAAA